AACCCCAACTGTGACCAATAGAGGGGTGAGATTTGCACATGTTTGACTGCAATGGCATGTCAGCTGTGCTATGTGCAACATGGTTTCTATGTATTTCTGGTAATTAACAGTCCGGACAGTAACCGTCAATTTTGTTTAGCAGGGTGTGGTAGCTTCGTCGGTAACATTAGGGGCAAATTGGAAAGGGGGAGGGTTTTGGACTAAACGGATTCTTTTGTTTCACCTTCACCTAAACACATTCAGTATTTTAAACACAGATGAAGTAGGAAACGGAAGAATTAAAAACAAAAAATAACTATCCCATGCGAAGCCGGGGAATTAAATATAGTTAGCTATGAAATGTAAATTTATAATGTTGGATTTAATAAATAAAATATTAACTTCATTTTTTTTTTTTGGGGTCTGTCTGAGCTCTCATCCGATCTGTGATTTATTTTCCTTTTTTCCTGGTCCGCAGAAGAAAAGAAAAAAGACGTGAATTTGGGCTTTTGGTCTAAAATGCTATAGAAAGATTCTCAAAATACCAGGGACAAAGAATAAAAGGAATATGATGATGATGATTTTAAAAAGCTTAAGAAAGCTGCCTTAGAGAAATTATTCCGTCTTCCATCTTTCTATCTCTCCTCCTGTGCTGAGTAGATCTCTGACAAACTCTCCTCTAATTTGCATAAAAACATCCCTGACAATGATCGCAAAGGCGAGAGCTGATCAACGAGGGCTGAAGAATCACGGGAGACCGACGAAGCGTTAAATAAAGGATGAACTGAGGCCTGGGCCCATTTATCGCGAACAGGTACCCACAAATGTAATTTTGATAGAATTTTGTGGCAGTCTGATGGGGGAAAGATAGACGGCAGAAAATAAATGGAAAGCTGCAGAATAGCAAGAGAAAAAATATAGAGATAGAGCGAGACAAAGAGATTGCTGGGGGGATAGGGGGGGAGAGAGATAGAGCGAGACAGATAGTGGGGGTTAAAATATGCAACACACATTTACATAATAACTAGCCAATGAGAGAGAGAAAGAGAGAGAGAGAGAGAGAGAGAGAGAGAGAGAGAGAGAGAGACAGACAGACAGAGAGAGAGAGAGAGAGAGGAGAGGAGTGAAGTGGGAGGAAGAAAGAGAGCATAGCTAGGAAACTGTCTAAAGAATAGCAAGGAGAGATAGACGGGGGAGATATTTAATTAGTAACTAGGAACAGGTGCAATGTGTGCATGTGTGTGTGTGTGTGTGTGTATATATATATATATATATATATATATATATATATATATATATATATATATATATATATCGATAGAGAAAGAGAGAGAGAGAGAGAGAGAGAGAGAGAGAGAGAGAGAGAGAGAGAGAGAAATATCTAGATATGGGGGTGGGGGGGGGGTGTTTGTAGATTTTTGGGGGCAAATTTCTAGGGAAAGATATGCAGAGAAACACATGGTAAATATAATGTGTTGTTCGTCCATCACGAGTGATGAAGTCCACTTTCATCCAAAGTAGTAATGATCAATGATTATGAGTACAAAGGTCGTTGATTAGTCCAATATGTGCCAGGAAAGTTTTTGAGCAGTGCGGACAACAGGTGGAGCCGCAGTAAGTGTAGGATTAGCAATACAGTTTTTTCTAGTCTGCCTCCGTTTCTCTGCCTGTGCAACCTCCGTTGTCTGGCAGGCTGATGTATCTTGCCCGAGCGATGTACGCCAATCAGAACGGTTATATACAGCAGCCACACACGTTGCTGTGATGATGCCACAAGAATTGAGAGCAGTTTTGACAGTGTCCTCATAGCGCCTTTTCTGTCCTCCCCAGGACCTCTTTCCTTGCAGGAGCTCGCCATAAACTACTCTCTTTGGGAGGCGTTAGTCTGGCATGTGAGCTAGGTGACCAGCCCAACGAAGCTGACAATTCTTCAGTATCGTGTGGATGCTAGGTAGGTTTGTTCTATCAATAACCCCAGTATTTGGAATCCTAGACCATCTCAACGAAGCTGATGATTCTTCAGTATCGTGTGGACGTTGGCAAGGTTTGCCCTATCAAGAACCACAGTATTGGAAACACTATCTTGCTATCTGATTTTGAGCAGCTTTCTGCGGTAATTATAATATTTAAAAAAAACCATTACAGACAGGAAACTACTAAAGCTGAATGGATGCAAAGGTAAAAGCCCGAGGAATTAAATGGGATGAATTCAAAGAAGGTGAAGAAATAAGAGAAATTTCCTGACAATTCCTGGCATCAACAGTTATGAACCAAAGAAGAGGGCAATATATTGGGCCCATCAAGAGAAGAAGCAAAAGAGGGAATCACTAAACAGGCACTGCAATGATAAACAGTCTAAACCTAGCCGATAAGTCGAACAGATGTTATTGCAGAACCTTGTATCTCAAAAACAACACTCCAGTAAAGTAATAATTCAGAACCTTGTCTCTCAGAAACAACGCTCCAGCGATGTATATTTTTGTTCCATATTATAAGCCACGTATATCGACAATAAAACAAAGAAAATTGAAATATTTTGGTCATTGAAACGTCATGGAAGTCTAGAGAGAACAATAATGGAGGGGTATATGCCTGGGAAGAGAGGAAGAGGAAGGCCAAGGAGAAGATGAGTGCAGGATGTGGCAGATGATCTCCAGATGGGTGTATCAGACGCAGGACATCTTGCTCAGGATAGGAAGGTTTTCCGGAGGGTTGTTATGGCAGCGAGGTTCCGCGAGGGACATGCTACTGAATGAATGAATGAATATCGTATTAGGTAGAAAATGTAAACTTACTGAGGAAATGAGGAGGCCAAGAGAGATCCTAAGAACCTTAATGAAATAGACCAAAGCTGATGGGCTGGATTCAGTTCCTAATATCGAAAGGATTGAGCAGAATGGAACGCATAGAACGGGGGCCGCGTTAGCACAGTCGATAGGAGGCTCGCTTTTAAATCCAGCTGCAACTCGCTGCAGCCCAGGGCCGGTGTTCGAAACCGGACGGTTCCCGGGGATCACCCAGCCTCTAGGAAATGGGTACCAGAGTTGACACTCTAGAGTAAATGGAGGAACGTCGCTGTAGTTAATAGGAGGCTCGCTTTCAAATCTAGCTGCGACTCGCTGCAGTCCAGGGCCGGTGTTTGAAACCGGAAGTTTCCCGGGGTTCACCTAGCCTCTAAGTAATGGGTACAGAGTTAACACTCTGGGGTAAATGAAGGAACGTCGCTGTAGCTACGGAGATGCGTGCGGACGGCGACACAGGCTGACATTTTCTTATCAGCTGTCTGTCTGTACTGGTGACAGAGCACTTTTACCCTTTAGAACGGATGGAAGAATAGACTGCGAGCGATATTCACACGACACAACTGATGTTGATGATAATGATGAGGGGGAGGAGATGGTGGAAGAGGAGGAGCATGATGAAGACCAAGGTGACGCCATCCAGAAAAGGACGGATAGCTAGGGGAACATTTATCGATTTAACGCAGTGTGCTTCCTTTAAATTACTATTATCAATCACAGCCAGAGGTTACCTGCAAACACTGACCAAACATAAACGTGATATCAAATAGCTTGTTCGCCCGCGTGGGTAACGGCCTCCCATTTTTTGGGGGAAGTGGGGGGGGGGGGGAAGAACTGAGATGAGGGAGGAAATGAATCGATCCCCCCACCCCCAACAGCATGTTGTACAGGGTTACTAATTAGGGGTATTTTGTTTGAAGTTGAGCACATCTACCTGAGAGGCGAGGAACCAACAATCTGCACACAAATAAACCAGATGTGTTGAACAGAGGGGCACCGAAACCTCAAGTTTTAGAGCAAGAAAAAGGTTCAGAAGTTGACGAACCACCAAAAATTTCCGGCAGGAGTTTACCAGTGGACGCTAAGAAAGAAGAAATGGTTTTTTTCTCCCCCATCCCGCCTTTCCCACCCCCTCCCACAACACTTCCCTACTGCTGTTTCTTTTTCCTGGGCTGTTGTCAGTACGCAAAAGGCGAGTCGCTATGTGGCTATGGCGCTATGTGGCTATGTGGCTGTGTCGTTATGTGGCTATGGCGCTATGTGGCTATGGCGCTATGTGGCTATGTGGCTGTGTCGTTATGTGGCTATGTCGTTATGTGGCTATGGCGCTATGTGTCTATGGCGCTATGTGTCTATGGCGCTATGTGGCTATGGCGCTATGTGGCTATGTGGCTGTGTCGTTATGTGGCTATGGCGCTATGTGGCTATGGCGCTATGTGGCTATGGCGCTATGTGGCTATGGCGCTATGTGTCTATGGCGCTATGTGGCTATGGCGCTATGTGGCTATGTGGCTGTGTCGTTATGTGGCTATGTCGTTATGTGTGGCTATGGCGCTATGTGTCTATGGCGCTATGTGTCTATGGCGCTATGTGGCTATGGCGCTATGTGGCTATGTGGCTGTGTCGTTATGTGGCTATGGCGCTATGTGGCTATGGCGCTATGTGGCTATGGCGCTATGTGGCTATGGCGCTATGTGGCTATGTGGCTGTGTCGTTATGTGGCTATGGCGCTATGTGGCTATGGCGCTATGTGGCTATGGCGCTATGTGGCTATGGCGCTATGTGGCTATGTGGCTGTGTCGTTATGTGGCTATGTCTTTATGTGTCTATGGCGCTATGTGTCTATGGCGCTATGTGGCTATGGCGCTATGTGGCTATGTGGCTGTGTCGTTATGTGGCTATGGCGCTATGTGGCTATGGCGCTATGTGGCTATGGCGCTATGTGGCTATGGCGCTATGTGGCTATGGCGCTATGTGGCTATGGCGCTATGTGGCTATGGCGCTATGTGGCTATGTGGCTGTGTCGTTATGTGGCTATGTCGTTATGTGGCTATGGCGCTATGTGTCTATGGCGCTATGTGTCTATGGCGCTATGTGGCTATGGCGCTATGTGGCTATGTGGCTGTGTCGTTATGTGGCTATGGCGCTATGTGGCTATGGCGCTATGTGGCTATGGCGCTATGTGGCTATGGCGCTATGTGGCTATGTGGCTGTGTCGTTATGTGGCTATGGCGCTATGTGGCTATGGCGCTATGTGGCTATGGCGCTATGTGGCTATGGCGCTATGTGGCTATGGCGCTATGTGGCTGTCGTTATGTGTCTATGGCGCTATGTGGCTATGTGGCTGTGTCGTTATGTGGCTATGTCGTTATGTGGCTATGGCGCTATGTGTCTATGGCGCTATGTGTCTATGGCGCTATGTGGCTATGGCGCTATGTGGCTATGTGGCTGTGTCGTTATGTGGCTATGGCGCTATGTGGCTATGGCGCTATGTGGCTATGGCGCTATGTGGCTATGGCGCTATGTGGCTATGTGGCTGTGTCGTTATGTGGCTATGGCGCTATGTGGCTATGGCGCTATGTGGCTATGGCGCTATGTGGCTATGGCGCTATGTGGCTATGGCGCTATGTGGCTATGTGGCTGTGTCGTTATGTGGCTATGTCTTTATGTGTCTATGGCGCTATGTGTCTATGGCGCTATGTGGCTATGGCGCTATGTGGCTATGTGGCTGTGTCGTTATGTGGCTATGGCGCTATGTGGCTATGGCGCTATGTGGCTATGGCGCTATGTGGCTATGGCGCTATGTGGCTATGGCGCTATGTGGCTATGGCGCTATGTGGCTATGGCGCTATGTGGCTATGGCGCTATGTGGCTATGGCGTTATGTGGCTATGGCGCTATGTGGCTATGGCGCTATGCGGCAATGTGGCTATATGGCTATACTGCTATGAGGCTAAGCCGCTATGTGGTTATATGACTATGTAGCTATATGGCTATGTGGCTATATGGCTATGTGGTTATATGGCTATGTTGCTATATGGCTATATGGCTATGTGGCTATATGGCTATGTGGCTATATGGCTATGTGGCTATATGGCTATGTTGCTATATGGCTATATGGCTATGTGGCTATGTGGTTATATTGTTATGTGGCTATGTGGCTATATGGCTATGTGGCTATATGGCTATATGGCTATATGGCTATATGGCTATGTTGCTATATGGCTATATGGCTATGTGGTAATATGGCTATATGGCTATGTGGTTATATGGCTATGTGGCTATATGGCTATGTAGCTATGTAGCTATGTGGTTATATGGCTATGTCGCTATGTGGCTATATGGCTATGTGGTTATATGACTATGTAGCTATATGGCTATGTGGCTATATGGCTATGTGGTTATATGGCTATGTTGCTATATGGCTATATGGCTATGTGGCTATATGGCTATGTGGCTATATGGCTATGTTGCTATATGGCTATATGGCTATGTGGCTATGTGGTTATATGGCTATGTGGCTATATGGCTATGTGGGTATATGGCTATATGGCTATATGGCTATGTTGCTATATGGCTATATGGCTATGTGGTTATATAGCTATATGGCTATATGGCTATGTGGCTATGTGGTTATATGGCTATGTGGCTATATGGCTATGTAGCTATGTAGCTATGTGGTTATATGGCTATGTCGCTATGTGGCTATATGGCTATGTGGTTATATGACTATGTAGCTATATGGCTATGTGGCTATATGGCTATGTGGTTATATGGCTATGTTGCTATATGGCTATATGGCTATGTGGCTATATGGCTATGTGGCTATATGGCTATATGGCTATATGGCTATATGGCTATATGGCTATGTGGCTATGTGGTTATATGGCTATGTGGCTATATGGCTATGTGGCTATATGGCTATATGGCTATAAGGCTATGTTGCTATATGGCTATATGTCTATGTGGTTATATGGCTATATGGCTATATGGCTATATGGCTATGTGGCTATGTGGTTATATGGCTATGTGGCTATATGGCTATGTGGCTATATAGCTATGTGGCTATATGGCTATGTGGTTATATGGCTATGTGGTTATATGGCTATGTGGCTATATGGCTATGTTGCTATATGGCTATATGGCTATGTGGTTATATGGCTTTATGGCTATATGGCTATATGGCTATGTGGCTATGTGGTTATATGGCTATGTGGCTATATGGCTATGTGGCTATATGGCTATGTGGCTATATGGCTATGTGGTTATATGGCTATGTGGCTATATGGCTATGTCGCCATGTGGCTATGTGGCTTTTTGGCTATGTCGCTATGTAAAGTCCTTCGCCAGCTGTAACAGATGTTTATCAATGTTGATATTGTGGTTCGTCCATTTCTAGAGAATGTAATCTTGTTTGTTTTATCTACATTGATCTGAATACAATAGTTGCTAAGCAAGTCTATCAATATGTTCATGTTGTGCCACTGTTAATGCTTATTTTCTACAATTCATAGGTTAGAGGACGGATGAACTATGATAGCATTCGGTCAGATTCCTCAGCAAAATGTAAGTTATATAAATGGAATAAACTTAGACACCAGTCACGATACTTAGTGTCCGTGGCTTATGCGTTGCGATGCCGGCTGGTAATTTCAACGTTCCGCGATCGAAACCCACTACTGGCTGCGTGAATTTGTATCATGGTATGGAGCGTCGCAGGTCGACCCAGCCTTAAACGGGTACAAGGATGTATGTCCTGGAGAAGTAAAGAAGGCCGGTGCAATACATTACCCACATAGTGCCAGTTGGTCTGTAAAAATATGGGTGCTCTTCCCATATGCCTGATGCGCAGAACAGCGTGAAAAGGGATCTTTAATTATACCCAAAGCTATGGATCATAACAGGAACGTCCAGAACTACACCAAAGGAGGATGTAGAAGTAAGAATGGGAATTATGCCTCTGCAACTTAAAAGGAAGGAATTGAGCCTAAATTTCTCCATCAGAACCACTCTTGGCCACACCTACCAAAGATACAAGATATTCATTGAAACACAAACAGACGTAGTCAATATCAGGTCAAATATATATATTCCCACAACTGTTAAATGCATAAAAGATCTGAGTAATTGTGTTACCCTGAACAACCTCTGGACCTGTTCACGTTTCCAAGCCCAGGTTTAGAGCAACTTCCCTTGCCATTCATGCCTCCTTAGGTCGCTGGACCTCTCCTATGTTGCGGAGGTGTTATGATATGGCTTGATTTGGCGTTCGCTCGGCGTATGTAATGTTAGTGGGAAATTGTGTTGTTGTGAGTCTATTTCAGATGCCGCAGGCGCCTGTGTACATGTAAAAAGTGCTACAGGCGCAATGATTCTTGGCTATCGAAACTGGGAAGTTTTTGTATTTCTACGTTCGTTGACGGTGGCTTCCACCCGAGAGAAAGAAAGTAATTACAATGAGCGTAGGAATAGAAAAAAAAATCTCTGTTTCCATACTTCCGAACCGTCGCGAAGGTAGCAGAACGTGAAAATAATCACGCAATTCATCGTTGAGAGGACGAGAAAGGAGGAAATAGTTACACCGTTCACAATAAGGAAAACATGACTCCCCAGCAACATATGAGACTTCCTTCGACCCAAGGAGGCATGAATGGCAAGGAAGTTACTCTAAACCTGGGCCTGGAAACGTGAACAGCACCCAACATCTTTAAGAATTATCAGGTTAATAGGACTAAGCTTGCTGCATGACACTTTAAGTTTCCGGAGACAGATGACAAACTGAACAGTTGTTCCGGGATTTTCTTCTGTTGCATTGTTATCCGGAAAGTGATTTTTTAAAGTCAATGGGTGTCAGACCTTCATGCAGCAGTCCTGAACGGTAATGTGATTTACTCCCTGTGGCCACACACATGTCAGACATTCTACTGGCCAGGAGAATTGTGATTTCTATCAGAGATACGTCAGTTAAATGATTTTTGTATTGTAGTTCCTATGTGGGGTATTGCATATTAATTTAATGTGATAACGAAAGCTTTTTAACCGCAACATTCACTTTGCATTTGTGATATTGTGACGCTAAATAGTTATACTTTCATTTGGTCTGAAATCTCTTCTGAAAGATGAATTCTACAAAAGTTACTGTCCACAAATAGTTAACCAATCCATTCTGCGACTTGTAAGTGGACTACGTGACCAAGCAAGTCAGCGCTTGAGCCAGACAAATATTCGATTCTCCCCGTCCTTATATTAGCAGAAGCGCCGATGGAAATATTCTCCGGTTTCAGATATTATCGATACGGTCCGGGCTGCTGGTGAGAGCTCCAGGTCCTGTGTGGGAAAACATTAGCCATCTAACGGCGAATCGATTCCCAGAACTAGTGCTAAGTATGGTTGTTTAGCCGATATCTTTAGTACAAACGAAAACAGACGGCAAGCATGGTCGTAGATATTATATGTAAGCAGTGTTTACACATGATCTGGGATATCATGTGTAAAAAAGCGCCTAGATATGTCGGGGATATCATGTGTAAACAGTGCCTTCATGTAGTCAGGGATATCACGTGTAAACAGTGATTACAAATGGTCAGGGATATCATGTGTAAACAGTGCATATATATATGGCTGGGGATATCATGTGTAAACAGTGCTTACACATAGTCCGAGATATTATTTTAAACAGTGCTTACACATGGCCTGGGATATAATGTGTAAACAATGCTTACACATGACCGGTGCTATCGTGTGTAAACAGTGCTTACACATGACCAGTGCTATCATGTGCAAACAGTGCTTACACATGACCAGTGCTATCATGTGTAAACAGTGCTCACACATGACCAGTGATATCATGTGTAAACAGTGCTTACACATGACCAGTGATATCATGTGTAAACAGTGCTTACACATGACCAGTGATAGCATGTGTAAACAGTGCTTACACATGACCAGTGATATCATGTGTAAATAATGCTTACACATGACCAGTGATATCATGTGTAAACAGTGCTTACATATGGTCAGGGATATTACTTGGAGAGACATAAGTACATTCACCATTCGCCACAGATATGCAGATAATCTCGCCATAGATGTACATTTACCTTTTCACCATAGATGTAAAGATGTTTACTATAGATGTAAAGATGTTTACTATAGATATACATTCACTTTTAACGGATGTTCACCATAGATATTAAGATGTTTACCATAGATATGCATTCACTTTTAACGGATGTTTACCATAGATATGCATTCACTTTTAACGGATGTTCACCATAGATGTAAAGATGTTTACTATAGATATACATTCACTTTTAACGGATGTTCACCATAGATGTAAAGATGTTTACTATAGATATGCATTCACTTGTAACTGATGTTCACCATAGAAACAACGACATTAACCATTGAACTCAGATGTACAAGCATTCACTTTTCAACACAGACATACAGTTATTTATTGTACACCATCTTCTTCTTCTGCATTTTCAACCCCTAACAGGCCCTCAACCAACTCACGCCACGGCTTTCTATCCTTCGCTATCGCATGCTGCTCTCCCTTTGTCCTGCTCATCTTTTTAACTTCACCCTTTAGCTCCCCTTACCGTGTGTTTTTTGCTCTTTCTTCATTTCTGTGCCCCTGTAGTTTTTTATGCATAGACACTCTAGTTGAAATGTTTTCAGGTTTTCTCAACATGTGTCTTATCCAACGCCAGCGTCTTTTCTTCACCTCTTGGTCCACTGGAACTGATTTAGTTCTCTCCCAAGCTCTACATTAGTGATGCCGCTCACCATAGATAAAAGAAATTCATCGTTCACCACAGGCATACAGACTGTTGTGTACATTAGTATTCACAAAGTCAAGGTGTATGGTGAGTCATTTGGTAATTAAAGGGTTAATATCCATGATATGAACAAAGAAGACACAAACAGTAGACTGCACAGTTTATTGTCCGGCATTTGTCATATTTGCTTGTC